ACAGTCTGATACCGGAGAACACAGCGCTTTGCAATGCACAACTCTTTCCAACACAGCCATTTTTAAGCTAGATGCTTAGTCATTACTGATGACAGCACGCTCCTATAAAGCTGCTCTATTTTGGGAACAACTGCAAGTGCAACTTTGCTTCTTCCCTACCTTAAGGTTAATTACAATAATGTGCAGTTCCCTGTGTACACTGCAGGCTCTCTGCATGCACCACTCTCAGTATTTTTGGAACAAGTGTGGAAGTTTATTCCAGTTATATCATTCAAAGCAAGCAGTAACTTGAACTTGAGAATAGCTCCCTGTTCACATTGTCCGGCCATGCTGTGCAGTGCTGCAGGCTCTGGATATTACTGCTGCCTTACAGAGGGATTTGGCACGAGCTCATAAAATGACTGAGACTTTTTTTCTTCCCCTACGGCCTCCTTAATTTTATTCCTTGGGTGTGTGTCAGTGCTCCCCTGCTTGTGCACATCTTTAAGGTTGAATTGATTCCCTAAAAACAGCAGAAGTATTTGAGGAGTGCTTTATAAATAACGAAGGAGAACATCTTGCTCATTCTTGTCATTGCTCAGATTTGAGCAAGCAGCTGCCCTGGTGACGGGGTGTCCCAATGTGGCTGTACTGAGTCCCAGGGCAGGGTCCTGTATCGCTTGGTGGTGCTACCTAGATGTCCAGAGGCCAATGGGAAAACATCTCATTCAGCAGCTGAACTGATAGATGAAGGTTTGAGAGAAGCAACAGGAGCAGAAAGTGATGTTTCCAGGATGGAACAAAGCAATTCTCCAACAGTTCTGCCTTCACAAGCTCCAGGCTTTACAGCTGCTGGTGTCCACATGTGTCCCGCTTCAGTTCAGGCACTTGCTGGGTTCAGTCAAAGAGAAGAGCAGGCAGGTTCTTGTTCTGGATGTGCTTTGCTGCCTCGTCTGCATGAGAGACCTTCCTTTGGGCATCCCCCATTAAACTTCAGTGTGATGAATGCTGGCCAGGCAGTCTCGGTCAGCAAATCCTAGAATCTGTTTTACTCTCCCAGGGTCACTCCAGGCTGAGGTTCTTCTCCATGGGGAAATGGAGGGAGTGCTCATCTGCAGGGAGGAAGGAGCTCTGAAGCTCTTTCACAGCTCTGGTGCACAGCGCACATCTCAAAAACTTCTTCAGTGATCCTAGTGCCCATAAATCTGTCCCAGCTGCAATAATTATACCAGCAATATGCAACACTGCTGGCATCTCCAGCTTGCTCCTTTTGGTACGTGGCTGTGCCCCAGGGAATCATAGATAGAATCACAAGGTTGGAAAGGACCTACAAGATCATAGAATCATAGAATCACAAGGTTGGAAAGGACCTACAAGATCATCCAGTCCAACCGTCTCCTCATCACCATTGCCACCACCAGCACTAAACCACACCATGCAGCTCCTCATCCAGGTGCCTCTTGAACACTGCCAGGGACGGTGACTCCACCACCTCTCTGGGCAGCCATTCCAGTGCCTGACCACTGAGAGAAAAAGTTCTTCCTTATGTCCAACCTAAACCTCCTCTGGTACAACTTGCAGCCATTACCCCATGTCCTGCTCGTTGCCTGGGAGAAGAGGCCAAATCCCTCTTCACCACAACCTCCCTTCAGGAGGTTGCAGAGTGCAGTGAGGTCTCCCCTGAGCCTCCTCTTCTCCAGAAATCTTCTAGTCCAGATCTTCTAGTCCAACCATCCTCCCATCACCATCACTACCACTAAGCTATTCAACTATATCTCACAGGAGCCGCAACAGAAAGATTTTGTGGTCGTTTGAGACTAGCAGCAGGAGTAATGGTGTTTCTCCAGCTTGTCAATTACGTGTTCTTTTCTTTTCTGCCCACTGTTGGAGTTCTTGATCTTGATTAAGGCATTATTTAATTCCTACTTTTCTGCGCCCCTGTGCTGAGCCAGGCATAATGGCCCTGTGTTTGAGCACTAGCGGGGTGCTTTCAGCAAGCTGATCTTCTGTGAAGCTGAAAGCGACTCAGCCTGAGCGGTGCTCTGTTCCTCCTCCTCTCCTCCTGGTAGGGAGCAGACTTCACAGGTAATCTGGAGGCATGCTGATATGCCTTTCAAGTTATTACCCGGGGAGTTTTTGCTCTGTCTGAGCACTGAGCGGTGAGTTGCTGACGGCTGTTGGAAGCAGTGAGAAAGGATTCACAAAACAGACAGAGCCTTGCCTCCAATTTCTGCAGACTGGAGCTGAATTTAATGGATAAATTGTGTTGCTGGGGAGATTTTGACTCTGTTCCCTCCTCTGTCACCAGTTTGCCTTGTGATTTGTGGCAGCGTTTTCAGCTGTGCCCGTCACATGAGATCGAAACCCATGAGTCAGACTCCACCCAAATCATGAGCCTGGCTTCCAGATCCAGGAGCTTTGAAAAGAGATCGTACTGTACTGTGTCTTTAGTTTATCTTTCCTTTCTGGAATTTCCTCCATGTATTCCCAGCGTTTCTCCAGCAATTAATGTTTTCTACTCTTTTGGAAGTGCTGGGGGTGTATTCTGACCATTTGGTGTTGCTGGAAGCCTCGTTTGACTGACACAATTAGTTTTGCTTTTGATCTCCAAATGCATCTTATTTCTTCCAGACTCCACGTCTTTGCCCTGTCCCCAGTGTCCTCCATCCCTCAGCCTCACACAACCCATCACCGCCGTCCAACCGCTCTGTGTCCCCTCTTCAGTCTGGAGAGGGTTTTTCAGCATTGCCTTTCATGGCTGGGAGAGTGCAAAAAGGCACAGACCTGGGTAATCCTTAACCTTTCTGTGGGAGTATGTAATTGGAGAGAGCAGGGAAACACTCTTCCTGAGGCTCCTTCCTGAAAAGGTGATACTTGTAGCACAGGAAAACGGCGCTGAGGACAAGCAGTGCAGTTTCTCTGTTCAGGATGGGAGACCTTTGAGTTAGGTGATAAAAGACCCCTTTGCTCATGAGGTGTTTGCAGGACTTGGCAAGCCAGAGTTTCTGATTCCTTCAAATGGAGTCAGGTGAGGAGTGAATCAGACACAAGCCAAAGTAAATCCAGAGAAGGTAAGTTGAGAGTCAGCCCTTCTGTCTGCCCTGTTTTGCTCTCTAATTCAGTGGTCAATCCGTTTTTCTTCAGATGTAAGGTTCGTAGTATGTTGTTTGTAGGCTCTGTTGACTGACTCCATTGTGGAGGATATCGGTAGAATGAGGTGGTGAAAAAGCCAAGGGGAAATTTGGTGTCGTATCACTGTTTTCCCCTATAGCATTTGCCTCTTTTCAGGAGGGTAAGAAGTGACAACTTCTTGGCGAGGTTTTATTAAGCCAAAGCCAAATCAATAAATGTAATTTTACAGTAATTATTGCATGCAACACTGTGGTGCCTGGTATTCCCATGGTAGCATTGCCATTGTTTTGCCATGAAGCCTGGAGATCAGAGCCAGCTATTTGACTAAGTTACACAAAACAAATCTACTCGCACCCCAGGCAGACAAGAAAATGCATCTTCCCTTGCTCAGCTTCACACTGTACCTTCACCCATGGAGTTTGCACGTTCCTGCATATGCTGTGTGCCAGGCATATGGCCAGTCCACAACGTCAGGTAGAAGTGTAGCTGAGCCACGTATCTCTAGAGTTGGACAGCTAGGAACTGAATCTGAACCCAGAGAAAAGCTCTTTACCTAGCCTGGAACCCCACCAGGAGCTATCTCCAAGACTTGAATCCACACCATCTCCACAGTTTGGTAGATGGGAAATTTGGAATTTGTTTTTAAACACAGGATTATCAGAAGCTGTGTTGAAGATGTGAGGAAGATGCACGATGCCTGCCAGAAAATCTTTCAGCTGAACTTTTCATATGCAAGTTGTAGCAAATGGACACATCCCAAAGTGTTTCTTGTTGTGCTGTATTTCAATAAACTGTGGTAATTAGAAGTGATTCCTTCTGTAAGACTGAGAAATGCTACCTCACAGCTTGAATATTAAAAAGATAAAATTTGTGAAAGCAAACAGAGTAATGTGATATTTTCTCCAGAGGAAAAGGCCATGTGTTTTTCTGCCTGTTTCATCAGCCATTTTCAGACACACACTGTGTACATAAAGTGCAGTTATGCAACCCACATGGGTCAACAAAGGGAGGTTGGTTGCTTCACCAGGATCATAAGAATCTCTCAAACACAATGGTACCACAAATTAAAACGGAAATCTATCAAAACCATTATCGTCCTGAAAGCTTTGGCCACAAGTGTAATTACTGCAGAGGGATGTTGTCCTTGGACACAGCTTTGGCGCAGTTCTGCTAGTGTTATTTGTAGCCCTCTATGGCTCAAAGTCAGAGCTTGCATGGCTAAGGACCATAAATTTTTAGAGGCAAGAAACAGGCTATTTCCTCAGTGCTAACACTAGCAGTTTTTTATTGTTTTGTAGTGGTTTGTAGGCAGCTCATTAGGTCTAGAGATAGGAACAGACTGAATGCGGTGGCTGAAGTCTGCCTTGAACTTTGGAAGGATTCAGACACAGATTTCTGTCTGGATCCAGTTGTTTGTGTCTGAGGCTCTTGCTTTACTGGACGTGAACAAGAACGATCAAATGTTAGGAGTGTTGGGATTTAAATCCAGTTCCAGAAGTCTCCTGCATTGATGTGCAGTCCACAGACTTAAGCAGAAGACCTACCCTGAGTTCCCTAGCATGCAGCAGGCAGTCCTGTAGGATGAAAGTAAGTGAAGGTACGTTCGACATACAGTGCAAAGAAAAATGCAGTCTTCTGTTGCTCGCCATAAGCAAGGGTCACAACTTCTGCCCCCAGGAGAAGCACCAGGTTACTTTCTCAAGCTCCAGATAAAGGTGGAGTCCCGGAGTAACTCTGCCATTGACCTGAAGATGAACTACATAAAATAACAGGCACTGTACATTAGTTTTGAGCAAGTTACTTCTTTTCCAATACCCGATTTTCCATCTTGAGAGAGATGAGCAGTGAACATGTTTGGACAGTATTTTTCCTCTCTCTCTTTCCCTCAGGCCGGTATAGATGGGGAAAGCATTGGGAACTGCCCGTTCTCCCAGCGTCTCTTCATGATCCTCTGGCTCAAAGGAGTTGTGTTCAACGTCACCACTGTTGACCTGAAAAGGTAAAAATTGCTTGGTTTTATTGAAAATAGTTACATGATCCCATGTTTTCCCGATAGAAAGGCCCCAGTAAGTTCAATCAGATTGATATCTGGCCTAGAGAGTTTGTGGTGCACAACAAAATAGTTGGGATTCAGGTTTGTTATTCCTTTTTTCACTTGTGGAATGTTTTTATATTAAACAGAGTGTTCTGGGGTATTTTAAAAGCATCCTCACCACAAACTGCTGAAGAAAAAGAAGGGCAAGCAACTGATTTTGCATGATTTTGCATGAACTGTGAATATCTGTGTGGCTGCCTGACCATAGAGATTAAGGAATTCGTGACCTTTCTTCTCTGTGCAGAAAGCCAGCTGATCTACACAACCTGGCTCCCGGAACTCACCCACCTTTCTTAACTTTTAATGGAGAAGTCAAGACAGATGTTAACAAGATTGAGGAATTCTTGGAAGAGATTCTTGCACCTCCAAAGTAAGAACTTGAGGGTTTTTCAGTCAATATTCCATTTCCTAGGAATGAAAGTTGTCCAAAGAGGAGTTCCTAAAAAGCACTCGGTCCTGCAACCTTTACTTACAGGAGTAATATTTATTTATGAAACTTGTTGGCTTCTGTGAGATGACTTCCATGTGTGAAAGTTGCTTGTGTGACTAATAACTGCAGAATGTTTTCTCTGAACACATTTCAGGATGCCATTGTATACAGAATTAAGGAGATGAATACGAAAAAAAAAAAATCATAGGGGTCTGGTGTCCACATTTTATAGAGCTAAAAATAACTTGGACTGGATGCAGAACATTGCCACACACAAAATCTGTGCCAGGAAAAGCATTTTGCTGTGAAAAACTGAAGGGTTCTGAGCTCTTCCAACAAAAAGGTTGGAAGAGGAACGGATCACAGAACACGAGGAGCTCTGGAGGCAGAGAAGTGCTCATTAGTCTCATCAAGAAATGACAAGAACCCATGACTAGAAGTTATAACCATACTAATTCAGATTAGAAACAGGGCACAGATATTTCGGTATGAATGAATAACCACTGGAACAAACTACTGGGGAAAGTGTCGGATTGGATTCACCAGACACGCCTCAGTTAGTCAAGCGTTTCGACTTCATACAAGGATGGTGTAGAAAAAGATTGTTGGCTTGTGTTTTGGACCTTAAGATCTATGAATCAATGAAAATTGGCTCAGTTCCTTACGGAGTGTTTTACCTCTGACTGAACCAGCATCTGTGGGCCAGTCCTGAGGCAAGCAACCAGGTATTTAATTTTCTATATGCTAGTCCAAGATCACCAAAACCAGTAGGAGTCGTTAGTTTGCATTGATCTTTCAGATCAGTGTATTCCTTTGCACCACAAAATAACAACTCAGAGACTGAAAACATTATGTTCCTTCACATGGGTGATGTTAACACGCCTTGCTGTTACATCCTGGCATGCATTTTCTGTGCAGGGAGTTAGACATGACTGCTGCTCATAACAGAGAGAGCTGGTTGCCAACCTCCCCTGCACTTTTCTGGAAATTTATGCTTCCTTTTGATTCAAGGCCACTATATGTTGGATCGTGGTCACGTAAAGCATCAGTGTAACTACTTCTGTCATGAAGCCATCCCTGTGCAGCTATCCAAACCTCTGCCTTGACAGACACAGATACTGCGAAGAAGGTCTTGCCAGGCTGTTGTTTTGAGATAAATGATAGTGTTAATTGCAGGGCTTTTTTTTTCTTCTTTTTTTTCCTTTCTTCCTGTAAGTAGAATTTGTAATCATCACGATGCTGCTGGTAATAAGATGTTTCTCCTTTCAGGTATCCCAAGCTGGCTGCTAAGCACCGGGAATCAAACACTGCTGGAATTGATATCTTCTCCAAATTTTCTGCTTACATCAAAAATACCAAGCAGCAGGACAATGCTGGTGAGTAGGATTGTTACCAAATGCGCCAGGAAGATTTACTGTTTAAAAGATGAATAATTTTACTATTTACCCCTTGTTTTATTGTAAGCTGTGTTCATACGACTTCAAGTGCTGCTGCTGGTCAGTCTCAGGTGGTAAATTCAATGGACTCAACTCACATGTCCACAGTTGGATTAACTACATCTACACTAGTAAATAAAATAGGTCAGGCACAGCTCCTGCCTGTAGCAGCCAAGCTGCACCAGTAATCCTGTATTCCATTCTGGATGGGTCTGGTGACTTGTACTACCTTCTCTACTCTATCCAGGCACTGTTCAGGATGCTAGTTGGTTGGCCCATGGTGCTGCAAGAGACAGTACTAAAAGCTTAGCAACCAGTGACTCAGGAATGAAAGGAGAGAGCAAGCCGTGCCTCTTGACCTGCATGATTTCGTAGATGTAGCCATTGACACCAGATTCTCATCCCGCATTCGGTGATGTTATGGTAGTGTAGCTAATTTGCTCATATAAACAGAATGTAATTGAATGAAAGAAGTGGCTTTGAGAAATGTAATTGCACTCTGCATGCTCCTGACTTTCCTCACATCTGCGTCAAAAGAAATAACCACGGAAGCTGGATGCCATGCATATTTACACGCATCCTACACTCGCTTCTTAATGAAATTGCTTTTCTTCTCCACATTCCTTTCTCCTCAGAGGCACAACTTCAGCCAGTCTCAGTTCCCATTGCTCCATGACAGAGAATGGATTGACACAGTCATATCCCTGGAGATAGTCTAGCCGGATACTTGCAGCCACTCACTGTTCATCTCACCTCGTTTTACTAATTTCACAGAGACCTAAGGCATGCTAATTACCATTCAGAGAGGAGTAGATTTGCAGGTTCCAGCTCTGCCCCAGCTTTCATTTGTGCACTTATATTTCATTGCCTGGGGCTGCCTCGTGAGATGAAGATGGGGAACGGGTGATTTATGCCAGATTACAATCTGCTCCTTAATATTTTTTTGGTATTAACAAAGAAAGTAATTATAACACTTCACTTCTTAGAGATGCTAAAAGCTTTTTTTATGTGTGTGTGTGTCTAACACCAATGGGATGCTCAGCTAACCACTGTAGGAAGGCTTGTAAAAAGAAGATAAATTAAGAGTCAGCCTAAATTGATGCTACACTGAAAATAAAATATCTTGGCCATCCAAAAGGAATCTTTATGATCTGCGGTGCAACCGTAAGTCTTCAATTCAGCTGCTCTGTTCTTTGCACTCGAAAACTGTCATGGGTGTTTGCCCACATGTAGAATCCTGGCATGGTGGTTCTCAGTGGCTCTGCGATGTGCAGATCCTGCTCCGATGTAGGCTGGCAGCTCCCACTGGTATTTAATGGCTGTGACACCGGGACATCTCTGAGCTCAGCTTTCCTCTTTGAAGTGGAGAAATGCTTCATTTCCTTCAGCTGAAGTGCCAGAGCACCAGGACAGAGCAAAGATGAGCAGAGTACTGCCCTATTCTTTGTAGCACCACGGGCCTCAGGGAGCTTGGGGCTGTGAGAACACTTACAACATGGGGGAATCAGACCTCAGCTATAGTAAGGTCTTTGACTTTCAGTTTTCAAGAGCTGGGTGAGAATAGTGTTTGTCTTACCTTGGGGACGTTTTCATTGAAGGATCAGTTCCTCTGATCCTTCTTTGGAGAATGCCCCTTTCCTTATCTCCATGTGAGTAGTTAAGGTCTAAAAGGAACAGATTGCTGCTTGTAGCTATCATGCATTTCCTATACACACCAGCTCTCAGTTCAAGGTGGTGGCACATGCCTCACAGCCGTGCTCTATGTTGAGCCCAAGCTGCAGGTGACTCAAGCTCTTGGGTTAAGCTGGAAATTCACACCTCTATCCGGGTCATCAGTTGCAAAGGATCGAAGTACAAGAACAGAAAAACACTTGTTCACAGAACCAAAACGGAATGGGGAACCTTTATCATTGCATCCAAAGTAAATGTCGTTGCTTTTGCTTGGGAGTAGGAGGGTGCTGGATACCAAGTTGCCTGAGTCACAAAGCGTCAGGTTGTTTAAATGATATTCTGTGAACCTGGAGGTCAGGGAGGTGGATTCACCAGTGTGGGATATCAGGCTGGGAATTTGTAGCATCCAGCGATCTCTAGCTGTGAGAACTCGTGTTAGCTGTAGTTGTGTTCCTCATGGCACACTGGGTTAGGAGAGGTCATTAGGTCTATGTAACATGAGCTATTGTGGAAAAATGTTGTGAACTGGTTGGAATCATTAATGAGATTTATGCAGTGGAAGAACACTGGATGTGAGAGTTAATGGCAGCCCAGTGCACATCCAAGATACCCCCCAAATGGTGTTTCTCCTAGAAGGGTTTACAGCTGCAGTCATGCAGCAGATCAGACACCAAGTAGCACTGTCCCTTGGCTGAGTTATGGCAGTGGGGTGGTGAGGAGGCACTGGCTGTAGAGTCTGTATCCTTTAAGTACTGGAATGACTTTTTTTCCCCTGAAAGTAGAAATGTTATGAAAAAAACCCAAGATTTGTAATACCTTTGTTTAGTTTTTTGAATTCTGGCGTGTAAGTGAGCAAACACAATGATTCACACATCCGTTTGTTTCTAAGATTGTGATACCCTCTGCTGGCAAGTATATGAATACTTAAAGCAAGAAGCTTTGCAGTCAAAGCTGAGACATCCCCTGGACAAAATAGCTTTCCTTCTGACCAGGTGCTTTTCTCTTTCAAGTGCACTATTGTCAAAAGAGAAGCATTCAGAGTAATCTATTGATTTTGACAATGTTTTCATGGAAAGTTTTGTGTTTTTTCTGGATGAGGTAAAATTATTTAGAATTCTTCAGCATTATGAGAATAACAGTGCATTTTTTTTTTTTGTTGGATTCGTGAAGTACTTAATTAGCCACATGCCATTATGTTTCATACCTGGCACAGAAGCAGGTGATAACCTTCTTGGGTAAGTCTGCATGGCAATATGGTATTGATCACGTTCCGTTTACTTACTGAAGGTATTTGGCAGCCAGGCTGCCCTGTTTTAATAGTTCCCTGAATTTCTGATGCTTTTTTTCCATCTTTGTTTTGCTCACATTTCTGCCTTATAATATAAAAACGTTGAAAGGTTTGGAACGGGCTGGCTAGGGCTGTAAGCCCAGAAGCAAACATGCTCATGCCATATCAAAGTCCCACCACTTTTAAGCTTCTTGAAAGGGAATGAATTGATTCCAGATCCTCAGGATGTGGCAAGCTGTGTTTAAAAAAAGTGCGTGCATTTATTATTTCAAGTCACTTCAATTACAACTGGCTTGATTCCTTCCACCCCCCATGTCACTCGATAATTTTATAACAGGCCTCTCTGAAGGAGCGACGGTCTCATCGTAGGCATAGATCCACATCTGGCTTAGATAGCACAACCGGGTTATTCGGCCCTCCAACCCCAGCACCAGACTTTGCTGCTTGGAACACTGAGAAGTTCTTATGCACCTCATGGCTGCCGCAAAGAGCCCTTGGAACAAAGCAGTGACAGTCCTCTTTGGTGATCTCCTGGATCCTCATCCACAGGTTTAGGTTGCTCAGGCTTGTGGGACTCAGCTGAGAGTTTTGGGTTGCTTTGTGCTTAATATCTCAAAGACCTTGACTGGGCACAAGGATGGAAACCAGAGCCCTGGGAGTTTACTTTGGTTCCTTTTGTTGATGCTGAGCAAAGCACTCCAGCTCTGTATCAAAACCAGAGCAGTAACAGTTTATCTATTCATTGGAGGAGGATGCATTTCAATTGATCGGAATGCTGCGTACAAATTCAGTACCCGCTCGTGACTTCTTTTGCTGCGTACTGCAAACCAAGGGGACAGCCCATAGCCACCACCCCTTCACCGTTCCGCCTAAAACCCTAAGTTCTCTGGCTCGCAGAATGAGCCCTTTGATTTCATTTATGAGTTTAAAAAGTTGTTCTTGAATGGAGTTCTTAGGAGGCACCAGCCCCGTGTGGGTGGGCGCATTCATTAGCGGCATGGAAGGAGGTTTCTCTGTAGGGCTCTTCAGAAGGCACGAGGCCTGGAGACCACCAGCACGGTCCCACGCGCAGGAATTTCCAACGTCTGACCAGAGGCCTCCGCTTGTCTGGTTTGGATTTACATCAAGAGCATTTAAATCATTAACTTACACGTGATTAAACGCTGTTCACCTCTTTCAGTAGCCGCATCACGCTGCGGTTCGGCGCGTGAGATGGGAAGTACCTCTCCATGCACTGCATCTGTGTGTGTGCAGCAGGTATGCACCCATGGGCAGGCTGGGATTGAAGCTGGTCTTCACCACTGTGAAGCTGCTCTGACTATACAGGATTCCTCCTGCTGAGCAGAGAGCCAGGCCCACAGTCTGGGTACGTGCACCCATCGAGGTGTACCTGGAAACCATGCTGAAATTAGCAGGAAAACAGCAGGTTAAAAAAATCTACGTAGGATAAAGGATGCTGCAGTAATAGATCTGTGGTGCAGGTCCTTTGTGGAATTGGAGCTGATGTGCTCAGATCCTTGGTGTGGTTTCATGGGTCCTTGATGCTGCGGTCATCCCAATGAGCACAGACTGCTCTACTCAACATCCACATCCAGAGGGGAGAAAACAGCTTTCCCCGAAGCTTCCTCTTGCTCAGTGGGAGAGGTCAGACTGGAACCATGACACAGCTTATCCCAACCCTAAAATCCTCCCGTCTCTTTCTGGGCCTAAAAGCTTCGCCCTCTGCTCAGCAAAGCTCTTGGCACAGCTCCTGTTGGCTTTAGTGGAGCAAAGTTAAAAAGCAGTGTGAATGCACTGAATGGATGAGGAGTTTCCTTTGACAGGAATTCGGGATTGGACTCTAATTCAGGAGCAATGTTAATGCTTTACGATTTTTGCATAGTTTTCCAAGGTGCCACAGAAATATATAGGTATAAATGCGTGTCGTGTCTGTGTATCAAATTGCCATTCAGTTTTTTCCTTCTTCCTCTTTAGTTGCAGA